AGTTTCCAGAGGATTCTTGCAAAGGATCCAGTGTGTAGGACGCACCCTGCTGGTTCCGTTCCATCCACAGCTATGTCATCTTCAGCAGGAGCGGATCTTGGTTTCTTCTTTGGGCGTGAACACCAACTTTGGGAGATACTGCTTCTCCGGATCAGGTATATTCTTCCCTTTTACCTTTTTGGTTCAGATCTGGTTCGATTGTGGTTCAAGTAAGATCCTTGAATATGGTATTCTAAATTTAGGGAATACGATTTCCAATTGGAGGAAGGTAGAAAAWTTTTTGAAATTCGCCCACCCATTCCGCCTTTTTGGCATCCATTAGATGGATCCTACCATTCCTTCATGTTTAAGGTTGATCAGCTCGCCTAAGGGGGGTTGCTTGTCAGTGGGGGCCCAAACCTAAGAAGGCAGTAGGATTTGAACTGGGTCCAACTGAGCCCGGTTCTTCTTGTTCCAATCGATAGAACCAGAGTTGTGCTTCCTCCGTCAGGTGAAAAGTAGCTAGGCTTACCTTGTCTCGGTTGTCCGTCCGTTGATTGCGAAAAAACTGCTCGCATCAGTACAGCCAACCCAAGGGATCTCCGGTGTCGTTGTACGACGGAAATTCCAATCTGCTATATTTGGGAATGACCGTGGCCCCCTGGGTAATGATCTGTTGCTCATCGAACGACTCGGACAAATTCGGTCGGCAGCCGCTAGTGGTTGCCGCCCCTTCTGTGTTCCTCTCCTTGCAAGAAAGGAATAACTCCATCAGACGTCGTAACTCCATGACTTCGTCTTTGATTTCACGTACTTCCAAGCTGGTCTCCAAGAGCCAGTGCTCTAGTTCGTGGACCCTGGACAGCAACTGCTCCAGATCACCCATGACGCCTTGCTCTGATACCAAATTGTTAAGGGCTCGGGAATAGGATCTCGTCACGGGTCGGTCCACGGGAAAACCCTCTTGTTTCCCCTTTGTCGCTTCCTTTTCTTGAGGTACCTATCTTGGCGCCTTGATGGTGATTTGTTCAAGAGATCACCAACTCTCCTTACTCTCTTCTTGACTGAATATTCGATGCCTTTATTGAATAATAGCAGCTCCTTAAATAGGAGATTACAAGAGGTAAGAGTCCTGCTCTTAGGGAGACTCCTTGCTGATTAGGGAGACTCTATCTTGATAAGATAAGACTGATAAGATAAGATAAGCCTCCCTTAATTCTAATCTAATAGGATAAGGCAATCTATTCTATCTTGATAAGATAAGACTGATAAGATAAGTCTCTCTTAATTCTAATCTAATAAGATAAGGCAATCTAATCTAATAAGATAAGATAATTTGATCTAATCTGCCGAATTGATAACAACACTGTTGCTGCTGAATTGGACAGGGAAACGTCAATAAAACACAAAGTGCCATCTGCAAACGGTAACATGTGCAACATCTCCCCCCCCCAAACTCAAAAAAACAAATTGGGCTGCATTGAAAAGGGGAAGGCGTGCTAGAGGCGTACGCCTCATGCACATCTTAAATAAAAAGATAGAAAAAAGAAAAAAAAAAGGAAAGGAAAGGAAAAGAAAAGAAAGGGAAGGGAAAGAAAAAGAAGAAAAAAAGAGAAAAGGAAAGGGAAGGGAAGAAAAGAAAAGGGGAAAGAAAGTGGTTTGTGTTATGGATGCATTCGTAGAAAGGCTTACCACCGCCGCCGGCAGCAGCAATAAGGAGGGGCCCACAGGACAGCTCATCCCATATCCTTATCTTATCTTATGATCTTAGTAAGAGTTTTGTTTACCATTAGAAGTAGGAGTTTGAGTTTGATTTAGAGAGGGATTATCCTAGCCTAGCCGAATACAACAAGGAACCCCCCTCTTGTAATCTCCTATTTAAGGAGCTGTGAATTGGAATAAAGCATTCAGTTTTCCAGTGAAGAGAAGAGTGAGGAGAGTTCGGGTGGTCTCTTGGACAAATCACCCATTCGGTTTTCCACAGTAGGGTCTGCACGCAAGGGAAGGCGCAAGGGGAAGCAAGAGGTTCTCCCCGTGACGAGATCCTACGCCCGGGCCCATAACAGTTTGCCCCCTGCCCCTTCGGCTGGGGGGCGAAGCTCCCCACCCCCTTTTCAATGCAGCCCAATTTGTTTTTTTTTTAGTTAGGAGGGTCTTGCTCCACTCCGGCGAGCAAGCGAAGCAAGCTCACCTCCGCTTCGACAAGACCCCCCCCCCCTTTCAACTAATGTTATGCATCTTTATTCTTCTTCATATAAAAGACTTTTATTAAAAATAAAGAAAAAAATGAGATCCCCCTTCCTCCTCCTAACCCCCCTCCTCTTAAAGCCTCCTTGTGTTCGGGAGGCTTATGCCTCTTGCCTTCTGAACTATGCCTCACACCTCTAGGTAATGGAACACCTCCACATTTTAAAACATTGGTCCAAACATCTCCAATTCACATGGTCATAAGCTTTCTCAATATCCAAATTACAAATCAGGCCTGGTGTCCCAAATCTTCTCCTAGAATCAATGAGCTCATTGGCAATAAGAACATTGTCCAGCATCTGTCTACCAGGAACAAAAGCACTTTGACTTTCAGATATCACACTAGACAAGGCCCTTTTCATCCTCTCAGCCAGAACTTATGCCAGAATTTTATAAAAGCTATTGAGAAGACTAACAGGTCTAAAGTCCTTGATGTTAACAGCCCTGGCCACTTTAGGATTGAGAGAAATAAAAGTGGCATTTAAACTTCTTTGCAAGGAGGCACTACTATGGAAATTATGGAACACATTCAGCACATCTTGCTTGATGAACTCCCAACACTTCACATAAAACAGGTTTGTCAAGCCATCTGGCCCGGGATATTTCTCTGCCTCCATCTTATTAATTGCTTCTTTAACTTTCATTTCAGTGAAAGGTCTTTCTAGAAAAGCTTTCTGTTCATCAGAGAGCCTTTTGAAATGGGTGTGAACAGGAAGAGGTCTAACCGGCCAGGGTTCTTTATATAACTTCTTATAAAAAGAAGCCAAAGCTTTAATTTCAGCAGCCAAGTCACCTATTCTGCCCCCACTCTCTAACTTACAGATCTTCTTAACTCTATTTCGAGCATTGGCCATTTTGTGAAAGAAGCCGCTATTCTTAGCCCCCACCTTAAGCCAAGTAGATTTAGCTCTGTCTCCACCTAATTTCATCTTTAACAGCTAGTTTATCAAAAGTTACCTTGGCTTGACACCTTTTCAGCCTTTGATCTTGAGAAATCTGACCAGCTTCTTCATCTCTATCCACCTCTTCAATCACACTGAGACATGCTTTTTTTTTCAGTTTCCAAAGACAGTCTATTCTCCAGATTCCAAATTCTGATTTTTTCTTTAATTATCCCCAGTTTTGGGGCTAAAATGTGGAACTAGTGCCATTCACTTGACATTCTTTCATATTTTGTCCAACAAGGGTAGGAAACCTTCTTCCTCAAACCAGACATTTTCAAATCTGAAGGGGACCTTGATTTTCTCTAGAGAGCCATAATTTAACTGAACTGGGCTATGGTTTGAGACAGGACTGGGAAGAGCAACTGAAGGAGGGAAACAACTCATCCCAATCAGAGGAAATCAGAAATCTATCCAATCGGACCAATGTAGGAGAATCCTGGTTGTTTGTCCAGGTAAAATTAGCACCCACCAGCAGCAAGTCCATTAACTCAAACCTGTTAATAAAATCAGCAAACATATTCATTGCCCTTGATCTTCTACCCCTTGTGTTTTTCTCTTCAGCGGACAAAGTCACATTAAAATCCCCAGGGATCAAGATGCCCTCTAGAGGTTGCTAAATCCTCCCAGAGCTCACTTCTTTGGCTATTTTCTGTAGGACCATAGACATTTGTGATTTGACATACCCCCCCCCCATTCTCCAGTTCCATGACAACCAAGATTGAGAAGGTACCAATTTTGTGAGACTTGACACTACATTTTGTCGGGTCCCACATGATTATCAAGCCCCCAACCACTGGTTTTGAAAGCCACTTCACCTGCCCATTCCACCAAATACTGTGAATTGTAGAGGCATCCACCTGATCTAATTTAGATTCTTGAATGAGAACTACTTGAGATTTGAACCGCTTGACAAAATCACGCACTACCATCCTCCGCCTTCCCGACCCTAAACCTCTGACATTTCAAGATAAGATTCTCAACTCCATTCAAACAAAATCAAGAAAACCCCAGGACCCTAAACCTCACTTAAAATTTTTCCCTCCCCTTGAGGGGCCTCCAACACTACCCGCCTTTTCATTGAGCCCCCAAGTTAATCTTAACATTTCTGTTTTTTTTCAACATTGGTCCCCCTTTTTTTGCTGTTTGTTTAGTTCAATGCCTTCCAAGTTCTTTATTGTTTTTCCTAAGGCTTGCAAAAAAGGGCTTATGTACTAGGTCTTTTACACCAAAAGTTGCTCCATGCACAAAGTATTGTCAAAGGATCATGGGGAGTCCTTTTGGGCTCCAAACTCATTTTCCATGTGCAAGACTCCTATGTTGTTTAGGGAAAGTATACTCCATGATATTTATCAAAAAAAAAAAAAAGTATACTCCATGACCTGACTAAAAAACCTATTCCATAGATATCTATACAGACATGTACATATACCTTTCACATTCTGTATACAATAATTCTCAACTTCTCATTTTGTCTCTGTATGAAACATATTGCAGAGATCTCACCTTGTGTGATTTCTAGATCTTTCATTAATCATCTTTTTCCATTTTTCTATTTGTTAAGAGCATTAGAATACAAATGTATAATAATCTAATGCAAAATACATTTGCATTAGCATTTCAGAAACAAGATGCTTCATTATGACTATTTCAGAAAAACATGGCAAACTGTGTGACATACTGATGTCATAATTGAACCAGTACCAAGGCCTTCCCATAGATTAACATCTTACAGTTATGTTATAAAATAGTGACAAGGAAAGTCTCTGGCCTTTGATTGCATCACCATGACCAGTCAACCTCAAAAGCCCTTGACCATAGACGCCCAAGTTTGCGTTTGAACTAATGATGGAATTTTCCTGCCAGAAAAAAGGATTTTAAATCACAGCACTTAAAAAGCTAAGAGAAAAACAGACCATGTATATTTATCTAAATCAATAATTACAATACCCTGAGAACAACAAGATTCCGGACTTCAAGAACAGATGTAGCAACATTATCATTCCCCCCACCATCTATTTGAATTTTTGAGTTCCACATAAGTAACATCTTGACAGCCATCCTGAATGCACCATATACCTTCATCCATTAAAAAACAAAGAATCAGAGAACCAATAAAGAAAAGGATGGCATATTCTTTTGCAACAATACCTAGCATTTAAAAGCAAATTTGAGTTTAAACAACCCCCGTTTTTGTGTCCTCCAAGGTATCTTGTACTTAGAGCATCTTTGGTCAAAATGAATTTTCAAAAACTGAATTGATTCAATACTAGATCCTATACTATCATTTATCTACATCCATAAACAAATATCTCATGCATGTTTGCTTTTCCTTTTTTTTTTCATTTTAACTTTATAGCTTTTACAAGAAATGTGATAAATTGTATTTAACAATTTCTTTTTGTTAAATCTATCAAAAAGAAGATACTAAGTATAACCAAAGAATAACAATCCCACTAAAAAGAACCACTAGACTCCCTGAGAATGTAAAGATGTCTCTTGATCTATTTGAATGATTCTTATAGGTTTCGTAGAGAGATTTGTGTAGTTTTCCTTAATTTGAAAATTAAGATTGCAAGAGGATTATCTGGAGTCCAAAAGAAACCTTATCAATTAAAAGGACTGAGATTGGCAATCTTTTGCAAATTCAGCTCAATGTTTAAGTCCATGTACACATGTCATACACCCTAGTTGGTTGCAAATGTATTTTCTCCTACTTTTAGGGTAGTTTTGTAATTGCGCATTAAGTAATCAATAGATGGTTGTTTTTGGAGAGGCGAAAGATTGTGCATTTTTCGATCACTTGGTTCTCTTTCTCTTCCTTCCCTTCTTCTCTTATACTTCCTTTTCTTTCTTATCCATTTTCCTCAGGTTTCTTAGAAGATTTGCAACACAAGACACTACTGTTTACAAATCCTAACTCTTTTTGTTTCCACTGTAGCATATGGAAGGACTTTCTCCCGAGCCCGTTAAACCCCTTATCTTTAAACTGGGACTTTGGGTTTCGTAGAGGGTTAAGGGATGGTGAGTCGAGTTGTGTTATTGAGCTAATTCGTTTACTAGAATCCGTTTGCTTGGACCCCACTTTTTCTGATCAAAGGGTTTGGACTCCTCTTCCAAAAGGTACTTTTACT